GATTGTAGTTTTAATTAGGGGATTTCCCCCCCTTTTTTCTTCCTGTGAGAACATAAACATCTTTCATAGTTTATTCACCATTCTGGTTCCCATTTTCTGATCACATGCAAAGGTAAGATGGATGGACTCTTATCTCAATTTGCATTTAGTTAAACTTACTTAATTGGAAGCTCTAGACTTTCGTCCATGTAGATTAGCTACATGAATTAATTCTACCTTTACTGTGAATTAATTCTACCATTACTTCTCTGTTTCTTTACTTACTTATTTGTAAAACAATGGGCTTTGACTAGTTAATTTCTAGTGTCCCTTTTACTAGTGTCTATAATTCATCTGTCTAATGTTTTTCTTGTTGGTCTTGAAACGTAGAAATAAGTTAGTTACATTGTGGTGGTACACTATAAAGCATAGATTTTTGTTTTTTGTTTTTCATAAGAAAATGCTGGATTTTGTTTCTGTAAGATGTGATATATTAGTTCTCCAAGGAGCTCTCAGATGAATTTTCCAGGCAGGTATCACTTTTCTATTTTTAAAATTATTTTTAATAATAATTTTTATTTTTCAGAGTTGACATACAATATATTAGTTTCAGGTATACAACATAGTGATTAGATATTTAGGTAACTTACAAAGTGGTCACGTGATAAATCTAGTACCCATCTGATGTCACACTCAGTTATTACAGTATTATTGACTGTCTTCCCTATGCTATACTTTATATTTGCATGACTATTTTATACTATGAATTTGTACTTTTGAATCCCTTCCCCTTTTTCACCCAGCCTCTAACTCCCCTCCCACCTGGCAACCATCAAAATATTCTCTTTGTCTATGGGTTTATTTCTGTTTTGTTTGTTCATTTTGTTTTTTAAATTTCACAAGTGAAATCATATGGTATTTGTCTTTCTGTGCCTGGCTTATTTCACTTGCATAATACCTTCTAGGTCCAACCATGTTTTTGCAGATGGCAAGATTTCATTCTTTTTTATGGCTAATGTTCCATTGTATGTACATACCACTTTTTTATCCATTCATATGTTGATGGACACTTAAGCTGCTTCCATGTGTTGGTTTTTGTAAATAATGCTGCAGTGAACATACAGATTTATATGACTATTTGAATAATGTTTTGGGTTTCTTCAAGTAAATACCCAGAAGTGAAATTGCTGGGTCTTTCTTTGTCTTATGTTATAGCCTTTGCTTTAAAGTTTATTTTGTTTAATACGAGTATTGCTACCCCAGCTTTTCCTTTAATTTCCATTTTCAGGAAATATCTTCCTCCATCTCTTTACTTATAGTCTGTGTCTATCCGTTTGAAGTGTGTCTCTTGTATGCAGCATATGTAAGGGTCTTAGTTTCTTACCCATTCAACCACTGTTTGTCTTTTGATTGGAACATTTCATCCATTTACACTTAAAGTAATTGTTGATAGACATGTAGTTGTTGTCATCTTATTTTCATCATTTTGATTTTTTCTTTCTTCTTAAAGAGGTCTCTTTAACGTTTCTTGCAGTACTGGTTTAGTAGTGATAAATTCCTTCAGCTTTTTGTTGTCTGGGAAGCTCTTTATTTCTCCTTCAATTTAAATGATAACATTGCTGGGTAGAGTAGCCTTGGTTGTAGGTCCTTGCTTTTTCTTCACCTTTAATATTTCAAGCTAATCCCTTCTGGCCTGAAATGTTTCTTTTGAGAAATCAGCTGACAGTTTTATGTGAGCTCCCTTGTAGGTAACTAACTGTTTTTTTCTTGTGGCTTTTAGGATTCTCTCTTTGTCTTTAAGTTTTGCCATTTTAATTATGATGTGTCTTGGTGTAGGCCTCTTTGGGTCCATCTTGTTTGAGACTCTCTGCATTTACTGGACTTCTGTGTCTTTCTCCTTCCCAGATTAGGGAAGTTTTCAGTCATTATTTCTTCAAGTAGATTCTTGATCCCTTGCTCACTCTCTTCTCCTTCTGGTAGTACCATGATGTGGATGTTGTTTCCTTTCATGTTGTCCCAAAGGTTTCTTACCCGCTCCTCATTTTTCAAAATTCTTTTTTCTTTTTGCTGTTCTACTTCGGTGTTTTCTTCTACCTTGTCTTCTGCATCACTGATTCGATCCTCTGCTTCATCTAACCCACTGTTTATTCCTTCCAGTGTAGTATTTATTTTAGATGTTGCATTCTATATTTCTGACTGGTCCTTTTATGGTTTCTATAGTCTTTTTTCATGCTTTTTGGTATCCTTATAATCATTACTTTAAATTCTGTTATTTGAAAAATACTTTTCTCCATTTCATTTAGTTCTTTTGGAGAATTCTCTTGTTTTTACATTGGGACCTGATTCTTTGGCTTTCCATTTTGGCTGCTTCTTTGTATTTGTTTCTGTATATTAAGTAGTTCTGCAAAGACTCTGGGGCAGATTTATGTCAGATGCTTTCCATGACTAGCCTTGGTCAACCTGTTTGGAGCTATCAGCAATCCACAGCTTGTGGCTTCCTCTGCTGGGTCGCGATGTGTCCAGAAAGAACCAGGCTCTGCACAAAGGCTGGCTTTTACCAGTAGAATTCCCCGGGAAGGTTCAGTTAAAGTCTCAGAGCTCCCAGAGATCTGCCTTTGCTATTAGGCTTAATCACTGATATAGCCTCCATCTGTACTCAGCAGCCTGGCTTATCCTTCTCAGGGTGGGGTAAGAGGGACTCCTGCAGGTGGGACTATTGCTTCTCTTCAGGCTGATGCCACATGAAGGGGAGGATTCTGCCCAAGAAAGATGGCTTCTGCAGTATGGGGAATGATTCAGTATAAGGATCGTGGTGGCTGATTTCTCAGCTCTCTCCCCATAGCCACCAACCCCAGACTCTTCTCACAAGTCCCTAGTCCACTCCTTCCTCCTTCTGCTGGAACCCAGGGTTAAGTGGCTGCAAATGAAATTTTGTGTCTTGGCCCTTTAAGAGGCTCTCTGTCTCTTGCTGTCTTTCCCTGGCAGACAGAAACCCCCCCTGCTTTTACAGCTGGATGTTATTTGGGTTCTTTTCCTGGTTCTAATGCTCCAGACTGGGGAGTCTAACTTGGGGTCTAGACCCCACACTTCTGAGGGGGAACCCCCCTGACCACTTAATGTCCATCTGGAACTTCAGTTGCTACCTATGGGGCCCAGCCCTCTTGCGGTTCTGCACTACCTACCAGTCTTGTTGTGGTGAAGTGGTTTCTTCCGTATGTCCTTGGTTATGAGGCTTCTCTCCAACTAGTGTTCAGTTAGTTATTCAGGATGCTTTTTCTTTAATTTAATTGAAACTACAGTTTGGTCCTAGGAGGTTACTGTAGCTTCCTCTTACTTCTCCACCATCTTGGGTCTCCTTTGCTACTGTTTAGAGTCTCTCTTTGTCTTTAACCTTGGGCATTTTAATTATGATATGTCCTGTTGTGGACCTTCAAGTTCATCTTGTTTAAGACTGTGTGCTTTCTGGGCTTTTAAGTGTATTTCCTTTGCCAGGTTAGAGAAGTTTTTAGTTCTTCAAATAGGTTTTTATTTCATTGTTCTCTCTCTTTTCCTTTGTTTTCTATCTTCATTCTTATGTTTCCTGTCTCTTTGTTGAGTTCTTACTGAGATAATTGAGCATCCTTATAACCAGAGGTTTGAATTCTGCATCTGAGAGATTGCTTATCTCCATTTCATTTAGCTCTTTTTCTGGAGCTTTTTTGTTCTTTCATTTGGGCCATGTTTCTTTGTTTCCTTATTTTGGCTGCCTCCTTGTGTTTGTTTCTATATCTTAGGTAGAGTTGCTGTGTCTCCTGGTCTTGGTAGAGTGGCCTTATGGAATAGATGTCATGGGGGACCCAGTGGTGCAGTCTCCCTGGTAACCTGAGCCATATGTTCCAGGGATGTTCCTTGTGTCGGTTGTGCATGCCTTCCCGTTGTAGTTGAACCTTGATTGATGTTGGCATTGTCATTAGGATGGATTGACCCTTAGGATGATTGGTCATGAGAACTGGCTGTGACTATAGCAGAGGAGCTGTTTCTGCAGGGGTCGACCCTACAGAGCAGGACTTGTGCCTGCCAAGTTTTCCCTTGGAGTGTGTCATTTGTGGAAGTGTTTGGGAGGGACTTTAGTGCAGGCCAACGTCAGCTGCTGCATGGATCATGTTCGGGGCTACTTAGTACAAGCTACAAAGTGATCTACAGATGGTTGCCACTTATGCAGGACTTGAAGGTGCCTGGGAGAAGCTAAGGGGAATTGAGGATGGCCGCTCCTAATGCCAAGCTGGCGACCCCTTAGTAAGAGATATGGGGCACAATGAGGCCAGATGCTGCTTATTTTTGGTTTTTGAACCTTCAAAAGATTTTAGGAAAGTCTGAATCATGAGGCAAGACAGGCCATTTTTATGGAAAAGCCACTGGAATTAGCTTGGATGGGCCTTCAAGCTGGGTGAGGTGAGATCTGGGAGAATGACCAGGATTAGGCAAACTGTGTTAGCAAGGTTGATGGAGGCCCAGACATGGTGCCCACCTGCCAGTGCAGGCTGGGTCGGGGAAAGGAACAACAAAGGAACAATGGCCTCTGCTAGGACTTCTGTCTGGGAGAAGGATGCCCCTCCAGCCCTCAGCCAGAAGCCAAACAATTCCATTTCTCCCTGGCACCCTTCGAGCTGCCTCCCCAGAGTGAGTGAATCTGTCAGCAAGTAAGTCTGCACACTACAGGCCCTTTAAGAGGAATGCCTAGGACCCCAAAAGCCCTCCATTTCACTCAGCCACAATCCCTTCTGGTTTTTACCCCTCCTACATGCCTCCACCTGGCTTCTTTGGTATATTCTTAGTTATAGGACTTCTGTTCGCCTAGTGTTCAGGAGGTTCTCAGTGAGGGTTGTTCTGTAGTTTATTTGTAATTTTGTTGTGGTCATGGGAGGAAGAGAGTGTAGTGTTTACCTACTCCACCTTCTTGACCAGAAACCTATTTTTAAAATTTTAAAATGCTGTTAAACCTATAAATTTGATCCTAACATATATGAATTATTCTTTCTCAGAGTGAAGATACACAACAGCAAATCATCAGGGAGACATTCCATTTGGTATCTAAGAGAGATGAAAATGTTTGTAATTTCCTAGAAGGAGGATTGTAAGTAAAGCATTTCATAGACAATTCTGATCTTTGACTATGATTAAAATATATACTGTTAAACCTGTTTATGGTAGAAGTTTCCTAATTTTCATTAATTGGATCAAGTGAGTTAACTCCCACCTGTGTTAGCTATAAATATAGTTTAAAGAAATTTTTAAAGACAAGCAATTTTTTAAAAAATTTGTAAAAGTATTTTATACAAAGGTAACATGCTCATATGGTGAAAATTCACATTATACAAGAGAGTATAAAATATAAATCAAGTCTTCCAATTTTAGACCCTCTTCCCAGTTTCTTGTGTATCCTTCTAGAAAATTAATTTTGCTTTGACTAGAATGTAAAAGTATGATCTTAAATGTTTTACCTATGAGATCAAACTGTGTATGCTAATTGCATGTTGCTTGTTTTCACTTGGTGTTTTGAAAAGCTTTGCATATAACATATCTAGAGCAACCTCATTCTTTGTAATGACTACAGGTTATTCCTTAGTGAATAGATCTGTTCATTAAATGTTAAATTACATTCTTTATTTTGTTATCACAAACAAGACTGAAGTCTGCTTTTCAAATATGTCTGTGTGTGTGTACATGAATATGTATAGGTACACCTGTATATAGATAAATTAGAATTCAGCTAATTTTCTATTTTAAATGATTAAGAATTACCTATAATTTATATAGTATTATATATCAGATATTTTTCAATAAAATTTAAAGGTAAAATTACTTAAAATTAGCTTGCTAACTACTCTTAAATACTCTTAAATTAATGGGTTTCATGAAAATAATTTGCACTCAGTTTTATAAATGTTCCCCCATGTTTATATAATTAATTTCTTTTTTTAAAAATGATTTCTTTATTTTTTCTTTGTTTTTAAAGATCTTATTTATTTATTTTTAGAGAGGGGAAGGGTGGGAGAGAGGGAAACATCAATGTGTGGTCACTCTTGCGCGCCCCCTACTGCGATACAGGCATGTGCCCTAGACTGGGAATCGAACCAGCAACACTCTGATTCACAGGCCAGCACTCAATCCACTGAGCCACACCAGCCAAGGCCATATAATTAATTTCTTAACAAGATATCTCCTCATTGACAATTCAAAGACTAAACTTTAACTGAGCCCCATTATGAATAATCACAGGTTAGAGAAAACTACACTTTAGTATTTTAAGGTATATGGTACACATTGTGAAAAATAGGATAATAGCGAAGTCATTCTTATTTGAACATAAATTACTTTTTATTATGTAGAAAGTTAACTTTCATTTTATAAAAGTTTGTATCATGCTGCCATTAAGTTGATAAAATATTTGTAAATTTTGCCATTAACTCAAGCCTTCCAATTTAATAGTTGAGACAGGTGCACCTGCTTTCTCTTTTTATATTTTAATTGTATTTTTCTTATTTCTTGTAAACTTACAGTTTAGTTGTCTTTGCCATTACCATTACCTCCCTTCCCATCAGCCTCTTAATCTCTTATCTCATAAGAAACTTATCATCCAGCATAGTGCCCTGCATGTGGTAGATGTAGAAGAACTCAATTGATCTAACCAGGGCACTGTTTGAACTAGAAATTATGGGTTGACTTTGTGATGATTATTTTCCAACCTTATAAAAAGTAGAAAGCAAATATTGCATCAGAGATGAAGTTACATGTTTAGTGGTTTAGTCCTAGTTTTGTCACTAGCATGCTGGTTTTCCTGAACAGGTAACTTAAATTTTTGTATTAATACCTCAGTTTTTAACCTGTGTAAAATGAGGTCTTTGAACTAAGAAGATTCCTAGAAGTCTGTGGTTTTATATGTTGTATTGCATTTCATACAAGAATTTGTATGAGTATTTATCAGTATTGTACTGTAGTTTAAGGATGAAATTATTTCTTAAAGGCAAAATATATATTTGCCATATTAATATCTTGGTTTTCTTTTAATAACATTAATATCCATTTTAAAACTTCCAAAAGTTTGGTCTTCTTTTAAAACAGCCAAACAAAAGTTTAAGACAAACACTAAATTGCTGATTCCAGAGGAAGTAAAGCCTGACCTCATTGCTTACTAATCTTTCTTTGTGTGCAGGCTGTCTCTTTCTTCCCTGAACATCCATATTTTGTTCTTGATAAAATGGCCTTTTTATTGGTTGATACCTCTGCCTGAAATGCTCTCCTCTAAATTTTTTCATGGCCACCTTTTTTTGTCTCTTTCAAGGAGCAATTGTAATCATAACCTATAAAAATAATTTCAGAGAATTTTTAAAGTGCATAATCTTTAAATTGAATCTTTTCTGATTCAATTAAGATTGAAATATTCAATCTTTTCAAGTGAATATTTTTAATTGAATCTTTTCTAGAAACATATCTAGCATAGTAAAAAAATTGTCAAAGATTATTTCTCCTTTTGCTGTTAGAAAATATAAATACAGTGTATACTTAGAGAAGTTGTTTTTACAGAATTAGAATTCAGTGTTACTTTTACTGAGTAAATAATAGATGCAATTTTCCCATCTTGTTCATGTTCAACTAGCTTCAATTACATTTAGTCTTGATGTGTGTGTGTGTGTGTGTGTGTGCGCGCGCGCGCGCTAGTGATAGAGGGTCTTTTGAGAAGGTGCATGAACTGATTGTTGTAAATTTAACTATGAAATATCTAAACTATTTAGGAAAATATAAGATGCTTGGAAAGATTTTTTTTTCAATGCTATAGTACTAATCAATATAAATAAAAACATTTGATGAAGTAATTGAGTATCTCTTAGTGCAGGGTTGGGGGTTTTTTTGCATTTATATTTCAAAACAAAATGTATTTTTGGAGCTCTTGTTGGGAAATCTGTCCAAATTTAAGAAGAAATGGCTTTTTTTTTTTTTTTCTGGTTGCTAATCAGTCTTAAGCTATTAACTTGCTGTTGCCTATGGAATTAAATTTAGTGAACACTTATACATGCCCTATGACCTGATTTTTTTCCCCTTTTCTGACCTCATTGCTTGCTAATCTTTCATTGTGTACAGGCTGTCTTTTTCTTCCCTGAACATCTGTGTTTTGTTCCTGATGAAATGGTCTTTTTATTAGTTGTTATCTCTGCCTGAAATGATCTCTAAATTTTGTCATGGCTGTCTCATCATTAGATCTTGGCCTAAATGTTACTCTTAACATCTAATCTGAAGAAACAAATCCATCAATATGGTATTATCCTATTTTGATTTTCTTTGTAGTGCTTTCCACTCTGATAATTTTTCCTTATTTATTTGTTTATTTATTGCTCCTTACCCACTATCAGTGCCTGACACTCAGTAGGTACTTAGTTGATAGTTAAATGAAAAAATGAATTAAAATTAAGCACTAGCATCTCTTAACATTTTTTAAGAAAAAACCATCTTAATTTACTTAGTCTCTGATACAAGTTCACTTGAATGCAATGCCATTAAATGTTACCTTTCATTTCATAAAAAGATTTTTAAGCCAATTGTCAGTTTGCTGTAGCCAATAAAAATGTCTTTCATTTTGTTCTTACAGTGTTTCAATTGTTTTGTTTTTTCATTTAGATTAATTGGAGGATCTGACAACAAACTGATTTATAGACATTATGCAACATTATATTTTGTCTTCTGTGTGGATTCTTCAGAAAGTGAACTTGGCATTTTAGATCTAATTCAAGTAAGTTAACATTTGCCTCTATCTTAAATAACAATTTTGACATTTGAAAAAACTTGCATGTTGTAAATTTTCTAAAATGATGTTTTGTTTGGTTAGAAATGAAGTGTTCCATAGTAGATATTGGATGGGTAAAAGAGGGAAGAGGGATGGAAAAACACATAGACTCACTCCGATTAAGACTAATCACAGCTAATTTCATTATGTTCCTTTTTTCTTGTTCATGTAAGTCACCGCCACAAGCCCAAGACTTACAGATTTCTTACCAGGTATATTCAGGTTTGACCTCAAAAAGCACCCCTTTCTGTTTTCTGAAAATCTTCCCTAATGTCCCTGGAGATCAAGGTCACTCATCAGCAAATTCCTCTTATTCTTCACTCTCTTAATATTAACTTCACCTTTTTCCTCTAGGTTAAATCTGGTTTCCCTGATGACATTACATGCAACCCTCGCCGGTCTTAACCATTTTCTGTCATGCTTTCTTTATACCATTGAACCTGGAGGTGTTCTGCTTTTTTCAGACCATTATCTTTTTAAAAACATCTCTAAGCTTTATCTCATGTTATCAAACTACACCACCTTCTACCAATCCTGTTTCAGTAACCTTTTATTCCTACCTTCCATTCATTGGAGATACTGTGAACAACTTTTAAGGGTCTGAGATTTTACCCTACCTGCAAGCTAATAAGTTAATTACCACAATTTCATGGATCCTGGCAGAAGACAAGAGATTTCTGAGCCAGAAACAAAGGACTTCCTTACTAACAGCAAAAGCGTAGCCAAAGAACAGCGTTTGCTTATACTGGGTCCTCAAGTCCCAATCTCCAAAGTGTGACTTGAAAAGGGCCATGTGATACCTGCATAGACAATAGATTGAGTAATAGCAGATGAACCCAAAGCTTGGGGAACTGGAATCTTTTATAGTGGACACTGAGCATGTCTTCTGCCCCTGAAGCGGAGAAAGAGAGTATTTTCAAAGGGTAAAGCTACCCTTTGCTTTGGAGGAAGACACTATTTTCCAAGGCTGTTTACTAGACGAGCTTGTTGGAGAAGATAGTTCACAATAAAGGCAATCAGTAACTTTGCTTACATTACGTACAGAAACGGGAGACTCATTGAGACTCATTCACTGCATTCACTTCATTACTGCTTGTGATTTCGATGTTCATGTGGACTGGTGTCTTCAAATGTAAAATTCCTCTTATCCAATGAATTTTGCCCTCTACCTCACCTCACTACTCATTTCTAGATCTTGTCTTTTTCCAGACTTCAGTTTTTCTATCATTTCAATTTCACAGTTTGTACTTTCTGCCACTTATCTTTCATATCACAATTTCTGTTACTCCAACAATTCTTTGAGCCTATTGTGATCTTAAGTCTTTTAAATCTTTTTTTTTTCACTGTCCCTGATGTTCCTGATGTCTTACTTTCCTTACTCAGCTTAAATTTTGTGGTCAGTCATGATAATCATAGCCTTGTATATATTCAATTCCTTCCCTTTACCTATACATCTGAACATACTTAGTGGGGAAAAAAAAAAGAAAATGACTGTAACTGTACTTACTGGCTTTACTCTAAATTTATGATCCCTAACCTCAGTGAGTCCTTAATGCTACCCAGTAATGAAACTATAATTCCCTGGTTCATTCACTGTTCCATACTCTAGACAACTACTGATACATTCTCCTCTCTCCTTAAATCTCTAGCATTTCTGGCATCTTGCTTCTTAGTTCACTGAGAAAATTTAAGCAATCAGAGAACTCCCACAGACTCTGCATCTGTGTCCATGTACTCTACTCTCTCTTCTATGAGAGATGAACTCACTATACTCCTAGCTAAGGCCAATTTGCCCACTTATATCATAGTTTTCTCCACATTTCCTTAGCAATTCTCCCTCTTTCCCCTATGTTATTTTTATTGTTTTATTTGTTGATTGACCTGTGAATGCATTTTTAATTATCTTAAGCCTTATGAACACATTAATTTATAATTTTGTGTTGATGATCTATTCTCTACTTTAATCCTTTTAGTGAGTTGGTAAAAGTACCATTACCATATATATACAGTAATTCTACAGTTTTTCAAATGCTGTCCAAGACAGTCCTGAATTATAACTTAGTCTGACTTAAAGAATTCACAAGCAAAATTTGCTACTATATCTTGTCATGCTGAATTTTAAAAGCATCTGACCCTATAGGTTATATATAAAATGTGAGAAGTGTTAAATATTCTTAATTTGATTTTATACACAAATTACACTAAAATGCCTTTCATTACATAAAAGGCAACAGTTTAGATACAGGGAATTTTAATTAAATTGGCATCACTGGGTACAAAAAAGATAAAACAGACACTTTCAGCTTATCTTTAGCCCTGTCTTTTTAATAGGCTAATGAACACAACTTGAACCACGAGTGGTGCTGTTCTAAGAGATAGTGAATGTATTTCCTCAGTATTTAAACATATTAATATAACTAGTTCTATAAGTCTAAGTATAAAACCAATCTCCTGTTGGTTTTGAGATGGCATTCACCATCCCTGAAAAGTCAAACATTACTAATCAAGTCCAATCATATTTTTGGAGGGGGAAAACAGTGATAGCACTTTCTTAACAGAAATTACCATCAAAGTTCAAAAAGCTGATCATATTCATTTAACCACAAGCTAATCTTATTTAAATCAGGACTACCCAAAAGAAATGTTCTATTAGCTATTCATGATCTGAATTATGGTGTATGAGATGAATTTAAATGTGATATACATTAAAAAAGTCATGAGACATTTGTTGTAATAAGTAAGTCAGTTGCCAACTATTACTGGTAAGTAGCTTTTTTGAAATAAGCTATCAAGTCTGCCCTTTCTGTACTCTTCTTAATGCAGCAAAGATCATTTTTGTTCCAGGGATGTATTTCTTGGGATTCTCCAATACTCCATTGTGTAGACTCTAGGTGATACCTTTGTTATTGTAGGCATCCATGTAAGAAAATCCAGGGGCCCAGCCTGTCTTTCTCCCAAATAAACCAGGGAGATTTAGCCCAGTCTTGTGATTGCCTCCCTTTTCCACATTATGGCACCGGGCACACTTCTGAAAAAAAAATCTTCTTGCCTTTCTCAACATCACCCATTTTTAAATCACTCCTGTGGCATGTGACACAGAGGTTCCCACTCAAAAGCCAGACACCCTGCTATAAGTCCAAGGACACACTGATTCTGTGCCTACATACTGGTGTTGGTGCAACCGAACACACTCCCATTTTTCCTCTCTGTTAGATCATTTCCACTAACCTATAATATTTTCTCCTATCTTAAAAAAAGTCCTGTCTCTATTTCCTTCTCTAGTCACTGCCTCATTTCTTTCCGTCCCTTTACAGCAAAAACACTTTTAAGATACATGTATACAATGTCTCAGTTTTTTCTTTTCCCATTTTATCTTGAACACACTCCCATCAGGTTTTCAGCTCTGCAATTACTGATCCAAAGGTTTTCTTCAGTCCTCCTTTATTTGATTAAGAATGTTTATCACTCTCTTCTTTACAAAATATTTTCTTCACTTGGCTTCTATAACACCTTACTTGCCTACTTCTGTAGTTGATTTATTTCAGTTTTCTGACCTCTCCTACGTCTTTTTCTTTGGCAAATCCTGTTGTATATACAGAATACGACCACCTACTACTCTCTGAATTGCCACTATGTTGATCCAAGCCAACACCAGCTCTTGCCTAGATTATTACTGTAGTTTTCTGACTGATGTTTCTGCTTCATCGTTGTCTTTTCCCTTTGGTCTTATCTCAGTAAAACAGCCAAAGTGATACTATTGAAATATGTCACATCTTAAACTATTCCATTCTGAATGTTTCAATGGCTTTTCTTCTTACTCAGAGTAAAGGCTAAATTCCTTGCAAATGACCTATTAAGTCCCACAGAATTTGACTCCCCTCCCCATATCCTACTATTTATCTTACTTTGTCTTCTACTTCTTTTCCTTTTGTTCTACCCACACTGGCCCTCCTTGCTGTTCCTCAAACATATTAGGCATGCTTCTACCTCAGAGCCTTTGTACTTGCTAATCTTTCTACCAAGGTGGTTCTTCCATTTCATATTTCCATGGCTAGCTCCATTATTTATTCAGGTCTTGGCCCAGATGTCAACTTTCTCAATATGGTATTTCCTGGCCCTTCTCTTTGATATTTTCTAATTCTTTCCTGCTTTATTATTCTTTTCCTTAGTAACTGTCACCATTTAGTATTTGATTGACTTTATCTTGTTTATTGTCCTTTAGCCTTACAAGAATGTAAGCTGTATGTGGGTCAGGACTTTTGTTTATTTTGTTCACTTATTTATCTCTACTGTATACAAAGGTGCAGGCAACATAATAGGTCCTCAGCAGACAATTGTTGAATGAATGAATGTATTTAATGCCTAACATTTAGCGTTCTTTGTAAAATAAGTGACATCAAAACCCTAAAGCTTAATTAGAAAGAGAAGAGTTAGCTAGAAAAATAAAACATACTGGTTGCTATGCAATAGCAATTTTTAAAAATCTTAGTGCTGGTTGCATTGATGTGTTTAATTTGTGAAAATCGTTAAGCTCTGTATACACTTAATATTTTGTACTTTCTGTTTATTATATTCCACTAAAATTAAAAAATAACTGACAATAAAAAATGTGCTTGCATTAATTGCGTTGCATTAAGATTATCATGAGGTAATTCTCATGCATGAGTCAGTCACTTTAAAAACACTGAATGAACAAATATGGAAAGAAGTAGCTCATTGTTTCTGCTTCTTTCATGAAACAGCTATTCAGAGCTTATTTAGAACTGATTTTCTTGCATTGTTCAGGCTCTATTTTTGAGATAGGCAAGTGTAATGTAAAAAGTAAATGTGGAAAATTATAAACCAAGAGAGTTTGGATCAAAATCTCTTGTTTTTAAATATTCTTTAGAGAATGGATCGAGAAAACTTAACAAATATCAACATATAATTACTAAATATATGCTGTG